GAGCCTCCATTGTCCCATCTGTACCGTGGAGATAACACTGTGAAGGGTGTTAGGCATGCAGTAAGTGCTCAATAAATGCAAGCTGCTGATTATATTCGTTCTGAAGGATGGACGGGGATCTAGACACAGGGCCATCAGGGGAAGGCAGGACAGGGCGCCCCCAGAGAAGGGAACTGCAAGAGCGAAATCCTGGAAGCAGGAAAACTGGTGATGTGGGATTGCGCCTGAGTGTGTGTGAGTGTGAGTGTGTGTGTATGTGTATGAGTGTCAATGTGTGGGTGTGTGTGAGTGTGTGGGGGTGTGAGTGTGTGTGTGTGAGTGTGAGAGTGTGGGTGTGTGTGAGTGTGTGGGGGTGTGAGTGTGTATGTGTGGGTGTGAGTGTGTGGGTGTGTGGGGGTGTGTGTGCGGGTGCAGAGAAGGCTGAATAGGTGGGTGAGGACGCTTTGCTCACCCCTCCAGTTAGTGCTCCCTAGCTGGTTCCTTGGGCCCAGGCACAATGAGAAGGTGCAGGCGGCAGTGTGAATTTCAGCCAGGAGGTGCTAGGGAAGCATCAACGGGCTGTGAGCAGGAGCGGAAGCACTCTGAGGTTCAGGTTCATTTACTTGTTTGTTTAAAGAATTATTTATTGGAACTGGCGCTGTGGTGCAGCGGGTTAGGCCACGGCTATAGCACCAGCATCCCATATCAGCACTGGTTCCAGTCCCAACTGCTCCACTGTTTTCCGATCCAGTTCCCTGCTAATGGCCTGGGAAAGCAGCGGAGTACAGCCTAAGTCTTGGGCCCCTGCACCCAGCATGGGAGACTTGGAAGAAGCTTCTGTCTCCTGGCTTCCACCTGGCCCAGCCCCAGTTGTTGCGGCCATTTGGGGAGTGAACCAACCAGTGGGTGGAAGATCTCTCTCTGTCTCTCTCTCTCTGCCTCTCTGTAGCTCTGCCTTTCAAATAAATAAATAAATCTTTTTCTAAAAAAAGGTGTAGGCCCAGGTGTTATGGTGTAGGGGGCTGAGACCCTGCTCAGGACGCCCACGTCCCTCACTGGAGTTTGGTTCTAGTCCTGGCTGCTCCACTTCCGGTTCAGTTTCCTTCCAATGCCTCCTGGGAGGCAGCAGATGGTGGCTCAAAGGCTTGAGCTCTTGTCACCCTGATGGGAGACCCACCTGGAGTTCTGGGCTCCTGCCTGTGACCTGGCCCAGTCCTGCCTATTGAAGGAATTTGGACAGTGAGCCAGCAGATGGAAGTTTCCTCTCTCTCTCTCTCTGCCTTGAAAGTAAATGAAGGCCGGCGCCGCGGCTCAACAGGCTAATCCTCCACCTTGCGGCGCCGGCACACTGGGTTCTAGTCCCGGTTAGGGCGCAGGATTCTGTCCCGGTTGCCCCTCTTCCAGGCCAGCTCTCTGCTGTGGCCCGGGAGTGCAGTGGAGGATGGCCCAAGTCCTTGGGCCCTGCACCCGCATGGGAGAGAAGGAGGAAGTACCTGGCTCCTGGCTTTGGATCAGTGTGGTGCGCCGGCCGCAGCGGCCATTGGAGGGTTAACCAACGGTAAAGGAAGACCTTTCTCTCTGTCTCTCTCTCTCACTGTCCACTCTGCCTGTCAAAAATAAAAAAATAATAAAAAAAGAAAGTAAATGAAAAAAGTAGACTTCTTATTTGAAAGGTGTAGGCTCATCCGTTGGGGGGACTTGGGGATTTTGTCTGGGGAGTGGCTTCACCAGTTGAACCTTCCCCCACTCTGTCTCAGTTTCTTTACCTATAAAATGGGAAGAAAACATTGTTTGTGAACGCCCATCAGAGAGCTTCCTCTCTGGGGGAGGCGGGGAGAGTGGCGAGCAGGCTCCCGGCCAGGCGCACAGACCGGCTCATTCCTGTGAGCACACGCAAGGTCCCGTGAGAGACACACCCAGGCTGACACATCCCTGCCCTTTGAAGTGGGGGGCCCCAAGCCCGCAGGGAACCCTCAGGGCATGGTGAGGGCAAGCCCAAGGCCCACACGGGAATAGGAGGGTGGCCTTTTGACCTCCAGTCCTGGCACCCGTAAAATCAGGCAGGCGCTCAGCTCTGAGCAAGGGCCACCCTGCGGCCGTGCGTGCAGGTGCGTGTGTGTACCTGGCTCTGGATGCCTTCATGCATACACGTGGATACCTATGGCTATGTTCACGCCTGCACACAGGAGCAGCATATATGTGCATGTATGTACACGTGTGTACACAGGAGCGGCACCCTTTCTCTGGGAATGAAGCATCGTGAGTGCCCCCAGCACAATGCCCCCTGCCTCTTTTCGTAGTCCGCAGGCTGCGCAGCCCACTCCCTCGGGCCAGGGTCAGAGAGGGCTGCGTGGTGTGGGATTCTAAGCAAGTATCTTGACCTCTCTGGGCTTCTGTGTGCCTGTTTCCCCACTGATGAAATTGAGGGGAGCTGAATAAGTTGGGCCCTGAGGTATCCTCCACCTCTAATAATCTCAGTGGAGAGGTGGGAGGAGTCCCAGGGGTTTCAAGAGGGGACTCTTCCGGGCTCTCATCCCCTCCCTCCCAAATTCCCACAGATACCCTTGATGCTCCGGAGACATGGATGACTGCCATTTGACCTCTGACCTCTGGGAGTGAGCTGGTGCTGGGAACAAGATCCAGGTCTCTTGGGGTGCGAGATGCACGCCAGGCACCTGCTCACACAAATGGTGTGAGCGAACACTGCCTGCCCCAGAGCAGGCGGCCGCGCAGAGCCCTGGAGCAGCCACCTCTCCCGAGCGTCAGGCAGCAGTGCTGAGCCTCGGATTCGAGTGCACTTTGTGCCAGGCCACACTGGGCTGGGTGGGAGGAGCAGATGGACAAAGATCCTGCCACTAGAATGCCCCCATCCACTGGGGAGGACACACACACACACACACACATGGTTGTCATCTCTGTTCATTGAACAAATAGAGGGCGGCCGGCACAGTAAGGCCAGGAGGGCTACAGCGAGGAAGCAGGGGTGAGTGGTCCTATGCGCGGGGAGGCCTGGCTTTCCGAGGGGCCTGAAGAGGGCAGTCCAGGCAGGGGACGCTAGAGTGGCCGCAGCGTGAGGCATGCAGAGAAGGGGAGGTGACGCCTGAGAGATCTGCCTCTGGATCACAGAAAGCCTCCAATGCTGTTAGCCGCGGGTGGCTTTGCGAGCCACAGGGCATCTGAGAGTGGCAAAACAGTGAGACAGGAGAGCTCAGTTAGCGATTATCCAGGTTCAATCAACAAGGAGGTCAAAGGAAGGCAGGAGGTTAGCAGGAAGTGGCCGTGGTGGGCAGAGGCTCAGGGTTGCAGGGATGAGGACACGCGGGGACGTCACTCCTAGGAACACAAGGCCACTCCCCTTCCCGTGGGAGCCTCTGGGTGGCACTTCCAGGGCCCCTTTCCCACATGCCAGGGCTGCGGTGTCCCTCAGAAGTGCCACGCCAGGCGGGGCCGGGGTTTTTCTCCCCACAGCACTGACCTCTGGAGTAGCTCCCCCTGGGCCTGACCCTTCCCCAGCAGCTCTGCTCCACTGAGAGGGGACCCTGGGGAGCCGAGGGTCTGTACGCGTGGTCTCTCCCCAGGCATCTCCCAGGCCACTGGAAGAGGTAGGGCCTGGCGTCTGGCCCTGGCAGGATCCCGAGGGTGGAGGGCTTGGAGACCGTAGTGTCCATTCTGGAAGGAAGCTGGGACAGAAACTCAGCCCCAGGGAGGAATGGGACTTGTCAGATTTCACACAGCCAATCGGGGACACAGTTAGGCCTCGAACTCAGATCTCTGGTGGTGGTGGGGGGGGGGGGGGTTGACACATTCTGGGGTTTAGATCACCTGGTGCATGGAGAGATTGAAGACGGCCAGGGCCAGAAGCTATAGGTTCGAATCTTGTGTGTGTGTGTATTTAAAGAATTTATTTATTTGAAAGAGTTACACAGAGAGGGAGAGAGAAACAGAGATCTTCCATCCTCTGGTTTACCCCCCAGATGGCCACAATGGCCAGGCCTGGGCCAGGCTGAAGCCAAGAGCCTGGTCTCCCATGAGTGCAGCCAGGGCCCAAGCAGTTGGGCCATCTTCCGCTACTTTTCCCAGGCCATAGCAGGGAGTTGGACTGAAAGGGGAGCAGCCAGGACTCGAAGTGGCATCTCTTTACCAGCTACACAGGCCCCGGGGTTCACGTCCTGACTCTGGTGTTGACTATAGCCTACTTACTCCGGGAAGTCACTTATGCTCTCTGAGTTTGTTTCCTTAAGTGTAAAATACCCACTCTGCGGGGTTGCTGTGAAGTTCAAGCACCACGCCACAGTGTCTGGTTCACAGGAAGTGGTCGGGGTCTGCTGGTGGTGTGCCTGTGGTAATGACCGCTAGTGCATAACGGCGTGTGAATTCACACAGTAACAGTGAGATGTGTGAGTCTCGTCGTCTCCATACGTCAACCCAGCCCTAGAGGCAACGTGGATCAAACAGCGTGTGCAAACGCACCAGCCCAGCCCGGGCGCTAAGTCAACAATTCCTCTCCAAGTCCTACTACCTGCCCAGGAGCTCCGCAGGAGCGGAGAAAGGGGACAGCCCCTCCTCCCCGTCTTGCTCAGCTGAGGCAGAGGGAGTGGGAAACCAGGGACGCAGGGGGCGAGCAGGGCGTGGGGGCAGCGTGGGGCGTGGAGGGGCACGGACGCGGCGTGGAGTCCAGGACGAGCGCAGCTCCGGGGACTTGGACACAGGGTGCAGGCCAAGGACGCGAGCGCAGAGGGAGGGGGGGAAGGCGCGGCGACCCGCGTTAGCAGTGCGAGATCAAGGTCACCCGGGGCAAGCAGGGGGGCCGTCCTCACGGGCGGGGGGGTTCCTAGCTACCGGAAGCGGCCTGTCCCGGGCCCCCGGGGCTCCGAGCACCGCTCGCATGCTCGCCCGAGCCGCTGCACAGCAGCCGGCGAGCCGCGGCGGGGGCGGGCCGAGGGGGGGGACCCGCAGCCTGGGATTGGTCGCCGGGGCGCCGGCCGTGACGCGAGGCGGGCGGCCCCTTTGTGACGTCACAATCAGCTGTTTGAACGTTCCAATTTGTGCCGTGAGCCGCGCCGCAGCGGCCGCACAGGCTTCCAGCCCCGTGGGCGAGCGCCGCAGCTCCGAGCGCCCGCCGCCGCCGCCGCCTCCCCGCCCGCCGCCCGCGATGCAGCCCGGCCTGTGAGCCGCCGTCGAGCCCTGGGACGCCCCCGCCGCACAACTACCTCAGCACCGCCCCGCCCGCTGCACCGCGCAGGTGCCCAGGTGAGTCCCTACCGATTAGGATCAGGGGGCTCCTGGCGCCCCGGGACACGCCCTGCGCCCCCCGCGTCCCGGCCTTTGTCTGTCTCCGCCGGCGGCCGCGGGGGCAGCGTTCCCGGCTCCCGATTGGCTGCCGCACGCCCAGTAGACCGTGACGTCTTCGTATTTACATATGACATTGAGACGTCACCAAGGCCAGCCCCGCCCCTTTCCCCCAGATTGGGTCGCCTGTCCTCCGGTGACCCGGTGGGCGCTGTGTCAGGGCCGGAGCTTGGGTGAGGGACGCCGACAGGCAAGCGAGCCGGGGAGGGGGTCTCGGCAGTTTCCTGGGCTAACTTGAGGGCTGCCATCGGGTCTCTGACCCCCAACTTTTCTTCTTGCTACCTGCCGGGGGTCGGACGGCGCTGCTGGGCTGGGGGGTTGTCGGGGACTCGGGGCGGGCTCGGACTCCAGGTGGTTGGGGACGGCACCAGATGGTGGCGGAATCCCCTCTGTCCCCGCTCCAGGCTCCGCCCCTCAGGGACTAAACATCCTCCTAATCCCTGACTGGTGTGCTGCGCTCGGCTGACGTCAGTGCCAGCCACCAAAGGAAGGGTCTCAGACCCCATTTCGTGGGAGGGGAGACTGAGGGGAGGTGGCTTACTCGAGACCACATGTCCAGTTAGAGTGACAGGTGCGTTATCCACGGGCAGACACAGTGGGTGGTGGGTGCTCAGCACCAGTTAGTTACCTGCTGCCCACCCTCCCGCTGGGGAGCTTCTCCTATAGGGCGCCCAGCTCGCCTCACTCCTGGGTCTTTGTCCAGGAAACCTCTGGGGACAGGGTCCCCTTTTGTGGCCCTGACCCCGTCTGTCCCCTCTCTATGATAGAGTCCCAGCTGCTTCCCAGCTGCTCTGACCACTGGCCGTCAGGGTGTCTCTGGGCTAATGTTGGTTGGGTGGGGGGTGGAGGGTGGGGTGAGGGCTCTCTGAACTGGCCCTTCATCGCCTCGCTGACTCCCAGGGTTGTCAGCAGGAAGGACAGGACCCTGGCAACTGCTGGTGATTGCAGGCTTTCCGCCACCTTTCTCTCGACTCGCAGGGCTAACAGAAGCCTCTGACTTCCCAAGAGGATGCGCCTGGAGGTGCCACCGGAGCCCCGTCCCACCCTGGGCTTTGCTCAAGATGGGCCGGGGTAGAGGTGGCTTAGGGCTCAAGTGCTATTCTGGGCACAGCTGCTGTGGTTATTAAAGGGGAATGATTCTCCCTGGAGCAGAGCTGGGAATCTGAGAACCAGGAAGCTGGCAGGGCTGGGAAAGAAAATCCAAGAGGCTCGGCTAGTGGTCAGGAGAGGGGGCGGGCACTGGCTGGCTAGTGCTGCTGTCGCTCCTGACCTGTCACTGACTTGCTGCAGGACCTGGGGCAGGAAGCGTCTCCCCTGAGCCACCCTGACCTCAGTGTGTGCTGAGGAGCTGCACTGCAGGCTCTGACACACAGTGGGTGCTCTGGTAAATCTGTGCTGAATCTTGGTGCCAGGAACCCCAGCTCTTCTGCAGCGGGGTAGAGGGTCAGTGACAGGATCGAAGTCACTGTCTGACCTCCCCTGTCCTCCCTGCATCATTAAATTCTTGGGGCTTGTTTGCTGACTGTGAGCATTCTGGACAGGGTACTCAGGGACCTGGGCTAGGTCTGCCCTGCCACTGTTCTGAAAGACTTGTGTCGTCTGTCTGATCCTCAGACTGTGAGATGGACTGGGAGCAGATCTGCACCCACCACCGGGGTGGTGTCACCCCTACTGGAGCAGGGGACTCCCACATCTTTGCCCAGGGAAGGACTGGTTGAGTGCTTGAGTCCTGGTCTGACCCTTAGGGCTCATCCTTAATGCCTCGTGGGATCTGCTGGCTCCCTCCCTCTGCCATCAGCTCCCACTGACCTGCTGTCTCCCCTAGGGCCAGGCAACCTGATCTTCCGCCTCCTAGCCAGGGAGGGTGCTCAGAGCAGGAGCCAGGAGGGCCTATGGGGATAGAGTCTTCACACCTCATCTGACAGTCACAACCCAGGCTTGCCCAATCGCATGGTGAGACAGAAGCAGTTCTGTGGGGTTTCTGCTCGCCGGCACTTTTCAAACCACACAAGCTTCAGTCGTGGTTCTTAATCTCTGGAGTCAAGGATGCTATTTAGGAAATTATATGAAAACCAAGGTTGTTCTTCCCAGGAAAAATACTCGTGGACTATGACCTCTGGTCACCACATTAAAAATGTCCAATTCAGAGACATCAAAGGCAAATGGAGATAGTGATTATGGGTGCTGCCTCTGAATCGGAGTGCATGGGTTCAAATCCCACCTCTGTCCCTTACTAGATATGATTCTCGTGGCGAGTTGCCGTACCTCTCTGAGCCTTCTTCACTTGTAAAAGAGGGGTTGGTAGTTTACTATCTACACTTCTATATCTAGTTATGGGGGTTGAATGAGGTGATACAGGTAAAGCTACACAGTACAGTGCCTGGCTCATGAATGGTAGCTATGTTATGATTGTAAACAACCACAATATGAGCACTCGCTCCCTGCCTGGAGAACTCCTGTTGACTCTTCACGGGCCTGCTTGGATGTCTCTGACAGCCTGGTCATATGGACCACTCCTTTCATGTTCCCAAAGCAAGCTGTGGTAATGAATAGTTTGGGGCATTTGCCCTAGTGGCTAAGATGTACCTTGGAACATATCCCACATCGCAGTACCTGGATTCAAGTCCAGCTTCTGCTACTGATTCTACCAGGCAGGTAGCAGGTAATGGCTCAAGTAGTTGGGTCCCTGCCGCCACCTAGGAGGCTTGGATGGAGTTCCTGGCTCCCGCCGGTTGTAAGCATTTAGATAGCGAACCAGTGGATGGGAGATTTCTCTGTGTGTCTCCGTGTCTGCCTCTCTAATTAATTAATTTAAAAAAATGCAATTTAAAAACCAGCTGGCTTATTGAGTGCTTAGTGTGTGCCTAGGCACTGTTCTAAGTGCTTTATCAATACTTAGCTCATTTAATTCTTATAAGGGCCCCAAGTGGGATGCCATTATTGTTGTCATTTGACAAGTGAGAAAACTAAATCCAGATAAGTCATTTTTCAAGGTCACACAAAAGACTCAAAAGCCCGAGTTTGAATGCAGAAAGCACACACGTGCTTCCTGTACTGTGCTCGCGGCTCTGGGGGCTACGACTGACTGACGGCCCCTGCCCTCTGTCCCAGGCCAGGAGTGGGGTGGACTTCGGTCTGCGGCGGCTGACTCCTCTCTCTGATTCCCAGGTTTTGCCCTGCCGTAGGGCGCCCCCGTGAGGCCGGTCCACGCCCCACGCCCCACGATGTTCCAGCGCCTCACCAGCCTCTTCTTCGGCGCCCCCCCACCCCCTGAAGACTCCGAGTGCCCCCGCGCCTTCGTCTCGGAGGAGGATGAGGTGGACGGCTGGCTTATCATTGACCTGCCGGGTGAGGCCTGAGTCGAGGATCCGGATTCTGACTCCCGGGCTCGCCATGGCAATGGCCAAGCGGCAGAAGGGAAGGGAGCTGCTTGGGGGCTGTGGAGTGCCCTGGAGCCCCCTGGACACGGGTGGGTGGGGATGGATGCTGAAGTAGCGAGGCTGGAGGCGGGTCACACAGCCGCTCCCCACGCAAGCCTGCGCTGTCCCTGTCCAGTGGCGGCGCAGCCCTCACGACCCCCAGGGCAGCAAGTGGGTGCCCCCGGGGGGCGCGGGGGTCGGGGCTGCCGGTCTGACTAACGATGTACTTTCTCTCCCCGCCCCCCTGTGTCCGGTGTGTGTGCGTCCTGTCCCCGCTGCTGCCCCCTCCTCCGCATGGCTCCCCCTCCCGCGCCCCCTAGACAGCTACGCGGCTCCAGGGGCCACTCCTGCCCCCGCGGGCCGCCCTCCGCCCGCACCCTCCTTGATGGACGAGAGCTGGTTTGTTACCCCTCCCGCCTGTTTTACTGCAGAGGGGCCTGGCCTCGGGCCCGCCCGCCTCCAGAGCAGCCCCCTGGAGGACCTCCTTATCGTGCGGCCGAGCATGTCTATTTACGACTACGGCAGCTATATAATGCCTGTAGCCAAGACATACCTACGAGTCTCCGGTAGTCTGGCATGACTGACGGACAACTATACTGATGCGATAGCGGGTCGGGGGCGGAGCCTGGGAGCTTAGCTAGAGGAGGGGCGTGGCCTCGGGGGCGTGGCCTCGTGCTCTGGGCAGGGGCTTGGGAGCGCCTCGCCCGAGGAGCTTGGGCGGGGCTTGCAGGCTCGAGGGGGCAAGGCCGAAGCACCGCGGGGGTGGGGCTTCTGCGGGCTGGGGCTGGGGCGCTGGGCTTTCCCCTGGGACTAGAGCCCGCTTAGCTTGGGGGAAGGACTGGCACCCACTCGGAGCGGAAGACAGGGAGGGAGATGGCGTCTTCCCCTACAGAGCCCTGCTTGTCCCTGCAGGGAGCTGGCGCCCGCCCGCCGCGAGCCCCGGGCCCTGCACCACGCCGCCGCTCCTCTGCCAGCGCGGGCCGTGCTGCTGGAGAAGGCGGGCCAGGCGCGGCGGCTGCAGCGGGCCCGACAGCGGGCCGAGCGCCATGCGCTGAGCGCCAAGGTGGTGCAGCGGCAGAACCGCGCCCGAGAGAGCCGTCCGCGCCGGCCCAAGCACCAGGGCAGCTTCGTCTACCAACCGTGCCAGCGCCAGTTCAACTACTGAACGTCCGCCGGCCACGCCACGGACCCCTTGCCCTCTCCTGCCCCGCCTCGGGCCCCTCCGCCGCAGCCAGTGCGCTGCTCGAGGGGCGGCCACGGCCAGTCTCGGTCTAGGCACCGTGACCTCCCTCCTTCAAGTGTGTGAGTGGGGTGCTAGCCCTTCCTTCCTGGACCCCCTTGGCTTCCCCATCTCTGACCCTCGAATCCGCCCCAAGTCCGCTCAGCCTCCTGCCCCCGTCCCCACGCCCAGCACCTGACTCTCCGTCCGTCTTTCCTTGTCCAGTCTGCATCCCTGGCCTTCCCTGCACCCTTCCCGTCCTGGCCCACCCCTTTTTCTCAGCCTCTTCCACTCCCGGGCCCACAGTCACCTCCCACCTTACATGGCTCACCCTTTCACACGTCTGGCATTACCCTCACTCCTGTCCCCTTATTATTCATTCCCAGTAATTCCCTCCCAAGTGCATAAAGGGAGGGGACCCTGAGGCCAGCTCTGATGACCTGTGTGGTGCGGGCAGCTGGCCTTGACCTCCAGTAGGGACTCAGGCCCAGGGTTTGCTTCTAGTCTTCCCCCTTCCCTTGGCCCTGGGGGACTGGGCTCCTTGGAGCTGCTTAGGCCCAGGACGGCAAAGTATGTGGAAGAGGACTGTGAGATGTGCGCCAGAGGGAGAAGGTGGAGGGAGTCGAGGGACAGAGGCAGCCTACGGAGACGCTGACAGGACGGACAGGTTGCCAAGGTGTGGGGAGCAGGGCACTGGGGGAGCTGGCACTGTGCTTGCTCAGAGAGGTCAAGCCCTGCTCCCGGGCTAGAGCCTGGAGTCCGCCCCCACTTCCTTTCCTGTAACCCCACCTGTCAGATCCTTTCCTGAGATCCGCCCTCTGCAGGGCTCAGTCAGTACCCTGCCTCCCTACCCCTGCTGTGCCTCCACAGGAGTAGAAGCTGGGCAAAGGCCCTGCGATTCTGGCCATCTGTTAAACACGCCCAAGGTGCTAGAACTTGTGTAGGGGAGATGCAGGCCTGAAGGCTTCTGGGCATGGGGAGGGTCGACACCCCTCCCCTCCAGGATAAGGAGGATACAAGCTGTGGGGTGGAGTCATCCCAAGACTGACAGCTTGGCCTTCATCTTGCCTCGGGCCTTGTGTTTCACACCCCTCAGTATGGCTATTATACACTCCCGGAAGGAGGCTCGAAGGCCCCCACCCCCACCCCAGGCTGTCCCCCTCCAGAGTCAGGACCTTCAAGGGGGCCTCTCTTCCTTTCCAGGCTGCTGGGGAGACATGGGTGCCCGATAGCTCCCCCTCCCCTCTTCACCAGTAAGCACCCAGAGAAGGAACCTGCATCTCTGGGTGAGACGGAGGGGACTGGGCACCCAGTGCCTCCTCACGATGGCACTGAATTTTGGGCTCAGACACCAGCAACAGCCTCTTGGGATGCCCTGAGTTGCTTCCCACTTCCTCTTCCTCGCTGTCCTTTTCTCGTGTGTGCTCTTTAGTCTTTGAAACTCTGAAGACTTCCTGTTACATAAGAACATAGGTCTAGCCCCGCACCCCAATTCCAAGTTTCCAAGGAAGCTTGGAGAAAACTCTGCATTCCCATGAGGGCAAAGACAGCTGCCCTCCCTGACTACAGCTCCAGGCCTCAGGTGGGGGTGTGGGGAAGGGAGGGGCCTGTGGATACTGGGATGGGGAGAGGAAGCCCTGTTGGGTCTCCTATTCCAGAGAATAAGCCACACTGAAAGAAAAAGCAGCTCAGAGTCCCCACAGCAGCCCCTCGGGGCTCCTCTAGCTCCTCTCCATAAACTGTCCTCCAGTTAGAGCCTCACCACTTGTATTCTTCCAGCTATCCCTTGGCCACTTCACAGCCAGGTTGGGATTTCAGCCCTTCCAAGAGCTCAAACTCCAGCTCTTCTTGCCTACTCTCACTGCCAGCTGGGGCCTAGGCTCAGTCCTAGATGGTGCCCATGATCCTTCTGGTGGGGGAAGAGCTCGAGTTCTCCAGCATTTGGCTCAAATATTGAAAGGTCCTTCTGGATGGAGGCTCCTGTAGTTCTAGAACCTTCCAGCCACCCACCTGGCTGGTTGCAAGGGTCATACTTTTTTGTACTTTCCTCTAGATTCTGTAGCATCTGAGTGTGGCAATATTTTAATTGTGTGTAGATTTCTAAGAACCCACACTACTTGGTCTCCTGCTAGTCTGACTCCTGAAGCATCAGACCTTGTCATACTGTATTGACTGTGTATGTGCCTTTCACCTTGAGCATGCTTCAGGATTTTGTTTTCTTAACCACAGAACTTGAATACACGAGGGAACCAGAATTCAAAGTCCTATGCAACCTTAGACAGGAGGGGTTAGAGTCTGTGCTGACTGGTGTTTTCAGAGACCCTGGAGAAGTCTGTATCCGTTTGTGAGTATTAGTGTTAACATACCAGCACTTTGCCAAAACTAAGGATGTCGGAGACCCTTCTTTCTAGAGTGAGTCCCAGCTACATTAAAGGGTGACTTCCAGCTGTTCTTCACTAGGTGAGTGGTTCCCTCAAGCTGTCACTTTCTAGCCTTTGCCAGCCTAGCCCCAGCAGGGCACCTCGTGTGTATGAGTGCAGTTTGGTGCTGTTTTGGAGTATGCCTGCTCCCCAGCCCCATGCCTGGAACCCTCTGATCAACTTGTTCTGACCCATGATGTCTTCGGTGCAACAGGGACCCCACTAGAGCTCTTGGACGCTTCCCCAGCTCCATGTGGGCTTTACGTGAGGGGACTGAATGCAGACACACTACAGCCCATTTCTAATACTCTCCCTCTTACCCTGACACCAAGTTCCAAGTGGAACCAAGCTGAGTGCATCCCTGTTGGGTATTTTGTGTTGAGACTGGCTGAAATGAGGAGACTTTGGTTGACCACGTTGTGATGTGTCGACAGACTCAAGGACACAACCACCTCGACCTGGTCATGTGGCATGCCTGTGTATGTGTGTAACAGGATTCTGATTGTTAGACTGTAATGCTGTTCCTCTACGGGAGAAAAAAAATTAATATAAAGAAAAACAAATAAAAATCTATTTAAAGCACACTGTGCTTTCTGCCTGAGTTGAATTACAGTCTGAATGATCTCAAGCACAGTTGTGGCACAGGGCGTTACTTAGCGCCTTTGGTTCTGGTGTGTGTGTCATACGAGGAAGAGGGTAGACAGGATTTACTGGGAACACGGCCAGACAGTGTGTGGTGTGACTCATAAATAACTAGGTTTAGAGGATCCTTAGAATACAAGACACAAAGATATTAAGACAGATGAAACAGAGATAAAAATAAGAGCATGGGAGACAGTCACCAGCTCACCCTTCCGGTCTCAGGTGTTAGCTTATGGCAAGGGCGAGGAGCCGCTGCAGGGGAAGGGATGAAAGGCACCTCAAAAAGCTCATTGGAGAAAATGTATTTAGAAGTGGTTATTTTGGTGCAGAAAGTTCTTGGAAAGATTTATTTTGAAAGAGTTACAAAGACAGACACAGAGCTCTTCCATCCGCTGGTTCTCCAAGATGGCTACCATGGCCAGTGCTAGGCCAAGTGCTTCATCTGGGTCTCCCATGTAGGCGGCAGGGGCCTAAATACTTGGGCCATCTTCCACTGCTTTTCCTAGGCCACCAGCAGGGAGCTGGATTGGAAGTGAACAGCCAGGACATGAACTGGCACCAATATGGGATGCCAGCATCAAAGTGGCAGCTTTACTGGCTATACCACAACGCTGGCCCTTTGCAAAGTTTTTGAAATCTATGCATAATTTTTTTTTGACAGGCAGAGTGGACAGTGAGAGAGAGAGAGAGAAAGGTCTTCCTTTGCCGTTGGTTCACCCTCCAATGGCTTCCGTGGCTGGCGTGCTGCGGCTGGCGTATCACGCTGATCTAAAGCCAGGAGCCAGGTGCTTTTCCTGGTCTCCCATGCAGGTGCAGGGCCCAAGGACTTGGGCCATCCTCCACTGCACTCCCGGGCCATAGCAGAGAGCTGGCCTGGAAGAGGGGCAACCGGGACAGAATCCGGCGCCCCGACCGGGACTAGAACCTGGTGTGCCGGCGCCGCAAGGCGGAGGATTAGCCTAGTGAGCCACGGCACCGGCATAATTTTTTAAATGTTAATTTTCCATGAACTTTCTGAGGATTCCTTGTATAAGTCTAGTCCTAGAGGCAACAGCAGGAGGCTGCAGCCCAGGCTGAGACAAGGACAGGGCGCTAAGGCACTGAAGTTCTCTGAAGGTTGGGGGAGGAGAGGGACAGAGCAGATTATTTTGGATTCTGTACAAATTTAAGTAAGAATTGAACTAGGAACAGGAAAATCCTAGGCATGCTGATGAGGAATCACCTCTAGGTACAGTGCACTTGATAAACAGGGCAAAGAGTAGGATACTGTGAATGTCTCAAGTCTTTCCCACAAAATGACCCATTTTAATCTGAGAGCTGCCCCATCTAAACACAGAAACAGACTAAAGGTGGAGACCTGACCTACCTGAGCTAGCATCTTGACGCTGGCACAGTCCTGCCGATCAGCCTTGCCTAGCTCCTGAACGGAGCCGATGTAAAACACAGTTGTTTTGGAGCAATCAATTATGTACACGCAGAAGCAGACTTATAATGGGGAGAACAGGTCCCATCTGCGTTGCTGACAGCTTCTGGTCCCTAAAAAAACCCCTGTGACCTTTGATGCTCTAAATTGATTTTGTTATTTGCAACCAAAAGAAATTAGACCAAGATATACCACACTACCTGTACTGTGCTGAATAGGGCTAGTTTTTCAAAGGCAAGAGTAAGCTGAAGAGCAAGTGTGTGCATTTTCCTCAACTTGCCAGGTGAGCAGCTCAGGTGCAATGGGACCGGATGGGAATCTAACGCTCAAAGAAGGCGGTGTTTACTAATTTATGGTCCAGTCCAGAGGGCTTGCTCACCCAATAACCCCTTATCAATAACATAGCTTTATGTTCTATGACAATGACATTTATTGAACACATTCAGTATTTCACATTGTACAAATCCTTAGATTCTCTTTATTCACTGGTCCATTTCTACAACAAATACATCCAAAACACTATATAATAAAATTATTTACAACGTTTCCAAATGAGAAGATTGCTTTTGCCCCCACTACTGCTATTCACACACAGTACACTTCCACAGCACAATACATCATTAAAAGACCTAAAAATGCTCACCCTGTACTCTAGGCTGCTTAGGAAATGTGAAAACTAATAACATTTATAATGGTATTAGCTCCTCACAATACATGGCAACATTTTAGAAACCTTGAACTTCATCTTGCAACACCAAAAGGGCTCAACAACCCTGCTTTCCCCCATTGCACTTTATGAAACAGGCTGCAGGGACTAGGAAAAGGGCCACATTATTAAAAGGACTAACTGTACAGAAATGGATTTAAAAAAGTCACAGCTCAAAGTTGCTCTTTGTAAAATTCACACACATTTACAAGTATCAAGTCGCCGTCCAGCTTGTTTACTTGGATTTTCTTCGCTTAGATTGCACCGCACTGGTTACATCTGTGGAGAGAAAGAAGGGACCTGTTCAGCTGAAGCAGCTTTTTTTTTTTTTTTTTTTTTTTTTTAAGATTTATTTATTTATTTGAAAGAGCTACACAGAGAGGAGAGGCGGAGAGGCGGAGAGGCAGAGAGAGAGAGAGAGAGAGAGGGAGGGAGGGAGGGAGGGAGGGAGGTCTTCCATCCTCTGGTTCACTCCCCAAATGGCCTCAATGACCGGAGCTGTGCCGATCTGAAGCCAGGAGCCAGGAGCCTCTTCTGGGTTTCCCATATGGGTGCAGGGGCCCAAAGACTTGGGCCATCTTCTACTGTTTTCCCAGGCCATAGCAGAGAGCTGGATCAGAAGTGGAGCAGCCGGGACTCAAACCGGCGCCCATATGGGATGCCGGCACTGCGGTGGCGGCCTTACCCGCTATGCCACAGCGCTGGCCCCTTGAGGCAACTCTTTACAGCAATGCCCTAAGGCCGTCCACAACAGCGAGCAGGAACCTAACCCTTTTAGACTCTGAATCCATCTAAGGGGCACTCAGTGCAGAGGGTGTCACAGGCTTGGTGAGAAGAGACTGTGGCTCACTAGGGCCTAGCAAGTGAAGAAATGCAATACTGGTGAGAAAAGTGGAGTGGAGAGAGCCTTTTAAGTTGCACAACTGACCCCATGATCTGTCTCACCGGTTCCCATCAACCAGAACAGTGTGGATAGATAAAAATGATGGTACATTTGATGAGAAATCAATGAATGATGCCACATGTGAGTAAATCAGCTAGGAAAACCAGCCTTTGGAACCCTTTTGCAGCCAAGGTTTTTTTGTTTTGTTTTGTTTTTGAGCGACAGAGTGGGAGAGAGAGAAAGCATGAGCAAGCAAGACACAGAGATATCTTCCATGCTGGTTCACTCCCAAAATATCCACAACAGCTATGTCCGAACCAGGCCAAAGCCAGGAGCTGGGAACTCAATCCCAGGTATCCCACGTGGGTAGCAGAGATCCAGTTATTTGAACCAGCACCTGCTGCCTCCCAGGGTATATATTAGCAGGAAGCTGGAATCAGAAGCAGAGCCAGGGCTCGAACTCAGGCACTTTGAAATGGGACATGGATGTTCCTAGTGGCATCGTAACCCCTGTGCTAAAGGCCTGCCCCCAAGCCATTGTTTTGAAGTAAGGAACTCTGTTTTGTCATACTATGTCAAAGTCACGAATCAACATGCCCATGGACTTTGGTCAGCAAGTGTCAACAGTGGCCTAGCCAGGTGCAGCTAAGCTACGGACGCATCCAGGCAAGGACACACATGAAGGACGAGCAATGGCCTGGTCTCCCTCAGGGAAACCCTGGGTGATGCATAACAGGGTCACAGTGGCCAAAAGGGAAGCACTGTGCTTTCATTCCTTTCATTTCTCTTGTACTATCGATGTTTAAGTCAATCAATTTAATTTTATCCCATATTTAGACCATATTTCTCAAAAGCTTCACACAAAGTTCTTTTATGGCAGAGTATAATGAATAGCTTAAAGCTCTCCAAATGTAAACATTTCTTTAAGATCTCAAATTTTTTTAAAGAAACATTTATTTATTTACTTGAAAGGCAGAGTGAGAAAGAGAGGAGAGGGAAAGAGAGAAAAGGAGAGGATGAGCTCCCCTATCCCTTTGTTTATTCCTCAAAGGACACAATGGCTGGGGTTGGGAGTGGGATGCAGGGGGCGGAGCTGAGAGCAAGAAATGCAACCTGGTTCTCCCACGTGGGAGGCAGTAACCCATCACCTGCTGCCTTGCAGGGTCTAAACTGGCAGGAAGCTGGAATCCGGAGCTGGAGTTGGGAATTAACTCGGTTCTCTGATGTGGGACTCACATCTTAACCACTAGGCTAAATGCCCACTTCATACTCTACTGACTTTAAAAAGTCATGGTTATTTTTCATGCTGTTCTACAGTGAAAAAAATTTAAAAAATATTTCTCATCAAACAAGGAAAACATGCTTCTTTCTGTTAATAGAAGCAGATTTATTTATCTCATCTCTAAGAAAGTAGGCTGAACTTTTTTTTTCTCATTTTATTTGAAAGGCAGAGAGAGAGAGAGAGAGAGAGAGAGAGAGAGAGAGAGAGAAAGGAAGGGGAAAGAGATTGCCCTTCTATCTGCTGGTTCAGCCCCCAAATGCCTGTAACGACCCGAGTTGGACCAGGTCAGAGCTGGGGTGACAGAAGCCTAAGTACCTGAGATGGTACCTGCCCAGTCTCCCAGGATGCATGCAAGTGCAGGAGTCGGAACTTGCACGAAGCACTCTGATATGGGATGCGGGCATCCCTAGCAACGACTTAACTGCTGTGCCCAACACCTGCTCCAGGCTGAATTTTCTGATGGTATATGTTAAGTTCAATATTTTAGGTACCTTTTCTTCTGTCATAATATTTTGAGAACCCAGGCCCCTAAAATATGTAGATGCAAAAAGCAAAAATTATATTACTCTGTTACTGCCAAGGAATAGGCCTATATGACTTTCCCAGAGGTGACCTGTACAGTATTTTTAGGTTTCTGTTGGTGGAC